GGACAAGGAGGAAAGGAGAAGGAGGACGAGAAGAAGGGAGGACAAGGAGAAGAAGGACAGAAGAAGGAAGAGAAGAAGGACGAGGAAGACGAAGAAGGAGAGAAGGATGAAGAGAACGAAGAGGAAGGAGAAGAGAGAAGGAGGAAGAGAAGAAGGAGAAGGAGAAGAGGACGAGAAGAAGAGGAGAAGAGAAGGAGAAGGAGAAGAGAGAGAAGAGAAGGAGAAGGAGGAGAGAAAAGGAAGAAAGGAGAAGGAGGAGAAAGAAGAAGGAGAAGGAGAAAAAAGGACGAGAAGAAGGAAGGGAGGAGAGAAGGAAGGAAGAAGAAGGAAGAAAGAAGGACTTCAGAAGGGAAGAAGAAGAAGGAGAAGGATGAGATTTTCATCCTACTTCTTCTTCATCCTCATCCTCATCCTCTTCTTCTTCTTCTGAGAAGAGGATGAGGATGAGGATGAAGAAGAAGAAGAAGAAGAAGAAGAAGAAGTAGGATGAAAATAAGAAGAATTCCAAGCCGGCAAAAAGTGTATCTGCAGAGCTCCTCTAAGTGTATCTGCAGAATAGAGGAGCTCTGCAGATACACTTTTTGCCGGCTTGGAATTCTTCTTATTTTCATCCTACTTCTTCTTCTTCTTCTTCTTCATCCTCATCCTCAGAAGAAGAAGAAGAGGAATGAAAATAAGAAGAATTCCAGCCGGCAAAAAGTGTATCTGCAGAGCTCCTCTAAGTGTATCTGCAGAATAGAGGAGCTCTGCAGATACACTTTTTGCCGGCTGAAGAAGAAGAAGAAGTAGTAGGATGTAAAATAAGAAGAATTCCAAGCCGGTTCTTCTTCTTCATCCTCATCCTCTTCTTCTTCTTTCTGAGGATGAGGATGAAGAAGAAGAAGAAGAGGGATGAAAATAAGAATAATTCCAAACCGGCAAAAAGTGTATCTGCAGAGTTCCTCTATTTCTGACAGTTCTCTGACTTTCACATTTACAGCGGTTGAAACATTGTATCTGTTTCCGAATAAAAACATCTGTATCCTAAATGGAAACAAATAGATACAAGGTTTCAACCGCTGTACATGTGAAGGAACTGTCAGAGAACTGTCAGAAATAGCGGAGCTCTCTGCAGGGACACTTTTGCCGGCTGATCGGGAAAAATCTGATTCGCGCACCCGAAGTAGGCTAATATTCGATTCGACGCGAATCGAATTTTTCCTGAAATTCGAATTGAATTCCACTTCGCCTGGTTCGATTCGCTCATCTCTAATCCTGAACTTTCTATTCCATCCAGATTGGCACAATGTTAATGAATCAAAGCACAGTCTGTGATTAACACGTTCCCCTTGAAATCTCTTCAGACCCTAGCTAGGAAATGCTCATCTACCTGGCTTTCTTTTGAAGAGTACTCTGGAGCAAGAGATACCAAGACAGGCATGCAGTCCTGTCCCAGTGAGAACAGATTAGGTACTGCGCCCAGCAGCCCTCTCTCTTGTAGGCCCCAGGGATTTAGAGGTACTCACACTGGCTTTGTATCCTACAGCTCTGAGTAAACCATGTTCAGACCTCTCACTGAGCCAGTTTCTGTCCTCGCTTGCAGGCTTCCCTGATGGATTGTAAGGCAGTGGAGCTCCCTCTGTCAGCTTCCCTTCCTTTCTTTCAACCTCCAGCCTGGAGCCAGAACCCCCCTTCTCCAGGGACCGCTCCCAGGCGACACAGCCGCACTTTACTCCTCCATCTTCCACCTGACTCCCCTTGCTGGCTGGCTCTTTCATATTTGTGGGGCAAACCTTCCCACACTGCCATGACCTCCAGACTGGGATTGGTCAGTTACGTGAATATGCAGATCCAGGTCTCCACCCCCTCCCAGCCACTAGCTTCTGGAAACTTCCATAGACCTCCAGAATCAGGGGGAGGTGATAGGGGCCCAACCTTGTGAGTCATTTAGTCTAAACTTGGCTGGGCACCTACTCAGACATGCTTTCTTCAACTACTGAGTGTTCCTTTCTCTCTAGAACCATTAGAGGGTGATACATATATAAATAAAATAAAAACCCTGATAAATATAGTTATGTGATGTAAAATCCTGAAACATGCTTTTAAATGCAACCCGTGCAAATACCTGAATTTGACAATTTGAATGACTGTTAAAAAGAAGTGCTAAGGGCTAACCAGGTCTCCAGCAGAGAGATGACCTAACCACTCTGGTGCTGTTCCTTTACTATCAAATAACAGACTGAGGGCTGCCAATTACAATTGTGTAAATCTCAGACCTGGGTGGATAGAAACGTATATTCTTTGACAGGTAAAACAGCTCTTAAATATGCATTTCAATTGTGTATTTACTGTAGCTTTCTGCATGGAGCTTAGCTTTAAAAGGTTACACTCCAGCCCAAAGAACTAAAGCAGGGGCGTCAAACTCAATTTCATTGCAGGCTGCATCAGCAGTATGGCAACGAGTATAGGATCCAGGAGTGTGTTACATACAGAGTGCAGGGTTCAGGATTATGCTATGTACAGAGTGCAGGGTTCAGGATTATGCTATGTACTGAGTGCAAGGATATGCGCAACATCTCATTTCCACCCCCTCCTCCTGGATTGATTTCTGCACCCATCCCCCCACCTCTGCATACATCTTTCTCCACACCACACCTCCAAGGCCCACAACCCCCCTAAAGCAAACCTCACATCTGTACTCTTTCCTACCCGATGCAAGATGGCATTTATAAGAATGCCACTCTTCATGGCCACTACTGGGTACAGTAAAAACCCGCACTCACGATGCAGCTGCTGGATGTAGATTAGAACACACAGCCGCCGGAGCAGCTGGGTACCTCTGACCATTGAAAGGCTATGCCAGATCAATCGTGCATGCACTACCCTGCTACACACGGAGCCAGTGCCACTGGGGAGACTGAAGAGGGAAGAGTAGGAAGTGTGTATTCCTGTTGCCAAAACCTGTTCCGTGATAGCGGAAAGCACATGGTGAGAACAGGGGGTGGTGGCTGGCAGCCACTGCGCAGGGCACATGTCAAGGCCTGTGGGCCTTGTGATTGCCACCTGTGAACTAAAGGGATGTCTTGTGCATGGCTTGGTCATACCCCTGCTATTTTTTCCTGCTGAAAACAACCTTTGCAATTCTTTTGCTTTCCAATCTAACAGTATGCATAAAGGTTGTAAATTGTTCCATGCTCCCCCTCCTTCTGTCACAGATCTTAAAATGATACTAAAAGGCTTACATTTTATTTTTCTTTAAATAACAAATTATGTTATACTTTCCTGTTCTGTGCAATAGTTTAGCACAGAGCAGTCCCGATTCCTGGAGCACGATCCTAGAGCAGCACCTCCCTTTCCGGATTGTCCGAATCTCCAGTGAGGGTCTGTCAACTGTCAACAGACAAATAAAATTAATTCTATGCCGATTACTACTGGTATACTCTACAACTGTTAACAGCCACCTTGCCTAACTCCATCTCATGCCACAGTATGACAAGGCTTTGTACATACCACTAGACCACCCTTTCTCAACGATTTTCTCCAAAGAAACCCCCAAACTAGTGTTTAGGTCTTGAGGAAGTCGTGCTTAAGGCTTGGCTCACACCTATGCAGTATGCTTTTGATCCATTTCCACAGTGAGTTTTGCATTTTTGACGTGTTTATCACGTGTTTTTTTTTAGGGTGAGTTGGGCTAATTTGTTGTTGGGCAGAATAAAAAAAAAAAAAAAAAAAAAAAAGAAATGCACTACATGCTTTTCTGCAGCATCTTCAATGAAGTCTATTGAACCAAAATGTTTTGCATTTAAAAGAAAAAAAAAAAAAAAAACACAACAAAAAAAGTCCCTGACCTTGTCCAAAAATGCAGCAGCTGAAAAAGCATCGATGTGAACATGTGCCAAAGAAAATCATGTTAAATGGACTGTAGTGCATTTCTTCAAAAAGCAGCAAAAGACGCATAGGTGTGGACCTGGCTTAAATGAATTAATTGTAGTTCAGTGGGAAGAATGCAACCCTTATAATGGTGGATCAGAATGCCACCCTAGGTAGCTAAAAAGGTATCTGGTGTCAAACTGCTGCCTCTACCAAGTGGTGTTGGCCCTGGAACTTTGCAGGCACAATCAATTGGGATGTCAAACAGCCACAGGTCAAGCATACCCTAACAACCTCTAAAGGAGTCCTGGTTGAGGATGACTGCACTAGACAATATATGTTTACCGTATTTTTCGCCGTATAAGACGCACTTTTTCTTCCCCAAAACTGGGGGGGAAATGTCAGTGCGTCTTATAAGGCGAATATGGAGCGGCCGGTCCGGTATTTCCACCGCGGCCGTGTAAGAATACCGGGCCGGCCGCTCAGCTCTGCAGCGGGACCTTACCTGTTCCTCTATCCAGCGGCGTGCTGTCTTCCCGGCTTCTGTAGTGTGGGCATGACAGCCGGGTGCCAAGTGCGCATGCTCAAGAAGCGGTGCTTTTTGTGAATGGTAAGGCGGTACCTGGGACACATGACAGATCCCAGAAGCCGCCGGACCAATCACAAAGCGCAAGTGCTTCTCTCTCATGCGCACTGGGCACCCGGCTGTCATGCCGAGCGCCATTACAGAAGCCGGGAAGACAGCGCGCGGCTGGATCGAGGAACAGGTAAGATCAAACTCTGCGGAAGTAAGAGCGGGTACCTGTCAAATTCAGGTACCTGCTCCCCACCTCCCCAAAGGTCAGCAGTCATCTGTACTGTCCGCAGTCTCTGGTCATCCCTGTGCTGTCCGCAGTCTCTGGTCATCTCCTGTACTGTGTCTGCAGTCCATTAGTTCAGAATTTTTTTTTTCCTGTTTTCTGCCTCTAAAACCTAGGTGCGTCTTATGGTCAGGTGCGTCTTATACGGCGGTACGTAGTCAGGTCAAAAGGGGAAAATGATTGTAAACACACAAACACACAAAAAAGCAGACAATATGCGCTTTCCACTCACTTTTTATATAAAAACAACAAAACCAGTCATAGTTGGACATAAAACAAAGGATAGTAATGTTAGAATCGGGAGAAGGCATTTCGCTGTTGCTGGGCAGGCTGCTGGACCTGTTGCTGTTGCTGTTGCTGCTGCTGTAGCCGTACCTGCTGAGTGTAAGGATCTTCTAATGATTTGACGAAGATTGTGGTCTTGGGGCCGGTTTTCCAGAGCACGCCATTGGAGTCCACCACAGAGGATTCTACGGTGATCTGGTGTGTCCCCATCACAGAGAGGTTTAACAGGAACTGTGTGCTGAAATAATCATTATGAGGTTCAACTCTCTGCTCCATCTCACTCCTTACACCTTCCAGAGGCACCTGGAAATAATCAGGAAAGAGGTTTGTGATGAGTTACTAAACATACAGTACAAAAAGCACAGCAGATAACATTTCAGCAAGAACAAAGGCCATTGCTTTAACAAGCCCTTACTATGGAAAATTCCCCTTTTACTATGTTTAAAGAGAACCTGTACTCCATTTTGAAATTGAAAAGTTAAAACTTCTGCCCTATGTGCATCTAAATCTATGAGTTCTCTGGAGCGCGATCCACTGTTCAGAGGTAATTGACAGGTGGAGAGGAAACAATGTGATGCCTCCTCACTGTTTTAACCTCATTTTTACTGACAAATGTGTTGCAGCTGCATGCAATGCACGTGGTTGCGGGGCATTTGCAACGCTTCTCCATTCACCCAAAATGGTTGTGTTTTTTATAGCAGAGATCTGTAGCAGCCATAATATCTGCTGGTTTTTTCTAGTGATTTGTATCTGAATACAGAGTTGCTGTTATAGCAGTCAACAATGCTTGTCTAGGCAGCTGGAAATGGTTGATATGCCAGGGTCATTAGCAGCTACGTTCAATATCATAAATAACGACTGAAACTGGTCACAAGGGAACAGATAGAGGGGAACACAAGGACAGACCCTGTACAAAGGTTCAAATCAAAGAGTGAGAGTCCATCGATCTCTGAAACAGAATGAAAAGAGTGGAGACTTGACCTTTGATGGTGCAGAGAGCCAAATGCTGGTCCAGACACAACTGCAGAAAGGAAAGGATTTGTTCCAAGCCTTCCACGTGTAAAATACCTTCTGTGAAGTTTACATCCTAGCCTTGGGAACTGTAGAAATCACAGACCGGGAGCTGCCTCTGTTCTTTAGAAAATAGGGCTTCAATGGTCTTACTATCATGGCCAGCGACAGAGAAGCATGTTGGCAAAACATCCCTAGAGAATGTAGAGCTGGACAGGCTAACAGGGCTCATGGTGTATCAGAGCACTACACCACCCTGGATCAATCCGGAGCAATGAGGATCAATGGAATGTCCATCTCTATCAAATGGGGAAGAATTTTAAAGGTATAGATGAGGGGCTACAAAGCATCCACTGCTTCCATCAGAGCATCACAAAGGATTTCCCAGCACACTTACCAGTCAGCCTGCAAAACAATCAAAATGGCTCTGTCTAACAGTTTGCGTTAAAAACCAGAGGGTTTTGTTTGCACACATGTGCAAATACAGTCAGGTCCATAAATATTGGGACATGGACACAATTCTAACATTTTTGGCTCTATACACCACCACAGTGGATTTGAAATAAAACAAACAAATTGTGCTTTAACTGCAGACTGTCAGCTTTAATTTGAGGGTATTTACACCCAAATCAAGTGAACGGTGTAGGAATTACAACAGTTTGCATATGTGCCTCCCACTTCTTAATGGACCAAAAGTAATGGGACAGAATAATAATCATAAATCAAACTTTCACTTTTTAATATTTGGTTTCAAATCCTTTGCAGTCAATTACAGTCTGAAGTCTGGAACGCATAGACATCACCAGACACTGGGTTTCTTCCCTGCTCTGCCAGGCCTCTACTGCAACGGTCTTCAGTTCCTGCTTGTTCTTGGGGCATTTCCCTTCAGTTTTGTCTTCAGCAAGTGAAATGCATGCTCAGTCGGACTCGGGTCAGGTAATTGACTTGGCCATTGCATAACATTCCACTTCTTTCCCTTAAAAAACTCTTTGGTTGCTTTTGCAGTATGCTTTGGGTCATTGTCCATCTGCACTGTGAAGCGGCGTCCAATGAGTTCTGAAGCATTTGGCTGAATATGAGCAGATAAAATTGCCCGAAATACTTCAGAATTCATCCTGCTGCCTTTGTCAGCAGTCACATCATCAATAAATACAAGAGAACCAGTTCCATTAGCAGCCATACATGCCCACGCCATGACACTACCACCACCATGCTTCACTGATGAGGTGGTATGCTTAGGATCATGAGCAGTTCCTTTCCTTCTCCATACTCTTCTCTTCCCATCACTCTGGTACAAGTTGATCTCGGTCTCATCTGTCCATAGGATGTTGTTCCAGAACTGTGAAGGCTTTTTTAGATGTCGTTTGGTAAACTCTAATCTGGCCTTCCTGTTTTTGAGGCTCACCAATGGTTTACATCTTATGGTGAACCCTCTGTATTCACTCTGGTGAAGTCTTCTCTTGATTGTTGACTTTGACACACATACACCTACCTCCTGGAGAGTGTTCTTGATCTGGCCAGCTGTTGTGAAGGGTGTTTTCTTCACCAGGGAAAGAATTCTTCGGTCATCCACCACAGTTGTTTTCCGTGGTCTTCCTGGTCTTTTGGTGTTGCTGAGTTCAGCGGTGCGTTCCTTCTTTTTAAGAATGTTCCAAACAGTTGTTTTGGCCATCCCCATTTTTTTTTGCTATCTCTCTGATGGGTTTGTTTTATTTTTTCATCCTAATGATGGCTTGCTTCACTGATAGTGACAGCTCTTTGGATCTCATCTTGAGAGTTGACAGCAACAGATTCCAAATGCAAATAGCACACTTGAAATGAACTCTGGACCTTTTATCTGCTCATTGTAATTGGGATAATGATTGAATAACACACACCTGGCCATGGAACAGCTGAGAAGCCAATTTTCCTATTACTTTTGGTCCCTTAACAAGTGGGAGGCACATATGCAAACTGTTGTAATTCCTACACCGTTCAACCTGATTTGGATGTAAATACCCTCAAATTAAAGCTGACAGTCTGCAGTTAAAGCACATCTTGTGTGTTTTCATTTCAAACCCATTGTGGTGGTTATAAAGAGCCAAAAATGTTAGAATTGTGTCAATGTCCCAATATTTATGGACCTGACTGTATATGCATAAGCTGCAGTGCCCATGTCAAGGGACTTCCGTATATACCACGGTCCTAACTCTAAATTTCAAAAGCCTCCATAGTAGAAGCTCATATAAGAAAGGATAAATTAAGGGCAGGTATGCCTGGAGGGAACCCACCCCTCCTTAAAGGCACAGGGATGCATGTGACACCCAGCAAAAGCACAAAGGCAGCGAAGGCACCAATTGCATCCCTGCTCCCAATTTGTCCAACTGTACAAAAAAAGTGGCAACCACCCCTATTTATAATTGGCCTTTTGCAGCAAAGTGCACATGGAAGGACAATGCACAGCACAAAGGTTTGCCCAGTACAACCTTACCAACTATCCTGCAAAACAACCAAAGTGGCTCTGTCTAACAGTTTAAAAACAAAGTGTTTTGTTTGCACATATTTGCAAATGCCACAGTGCCCACATTGAGGGTCCTCTGCGGGTACTGCCATCACAGTATATACATAGGTTCCTTGACGTGGGCACTGCAGCGTTCACATATATTTGCAATAAACACAGAGGGTTTTGTTAGCATACATTTGGAAACTGTTGGACAGAGCTACTGGGGTTGTTTTGCAGCCTGGTTGGTAAAGTTGCTGGGAAACCCTTTGTTTGTGATGTGAATTGCCCCTTCCAAGTGCACCTTGCTGCAAAGGCTAGTTATAGGTTGGGGTGATTGCCACTTTTTTGTACAGTTCCACCAGAGCATCCCTGCTCCTGAAAACAAACCTGTCCAGTTTTTTGTTGAACCTGGAGGCTAGAAGATCCACATCTGGCATCCCCCCAACTCTGACACAGGTCTTGGAACACCTCCAGATGTAGGACCCAATCAACCAGGTCCAGATGCTGCAAACGAAGTAAACCTGCCTGCTCATTGCCTATGCCTAACTTGTATATGGCTAATAAGACTGGAATGTATAGTTCTGTCAAGGTCAAGATCTACTCTACCTCTTAGCACAGTATGACTTTCAATGTACGCCATCACCGTGACATCCAAACAAATATAGATTGAATGGTCCTCCAACGGGTTGGTGCAACGGTGAAAGGATTCAAATCCTGCGCCAACAAGGAACCCAGGACTCCTCCCCCAGCCTTACAGGCTGGCACCAGTTTTGAGAATCTTCCAAAAAATGGAGGATTCCAGACCTGGATACCTGAGCCCTTAAGCCAAGGAAAGCCTTGCCCTTGGTGTAAACCGCATTGGCCTGTCCAAAGACAGAATCGATTTCTTCCATGATGACAGAAAGTGTTGTAAAGGTCTGGAGTGAAATTAGGCCAAGGGAGCTGCTTTACAAAAGGCTACCACCTGTTACATTTGGACAATCAGATTGGTTGTCTGACACCGGCCTTGCTGACAGATCTCTCAACAGGAGACAGTCTAGGTATCCCACAATGTGGATGCTACAACAGGGCTAGCATTGTAGACAGCACTTGGTGAACACCCAGAGTGTACAGGGGGCACGTCTTCATGCCGAGAAAGGCTTGTCTTAAGAATTTGGAGTGCAGACTTGTGAGTGGACTGGGAGCCAGGCTTGGAAAGTCTCAATGTTGAAGTCCAGGGAGTGGAAAAATGAAAGGGACAAACAGAGGCACAAGACTTTGTAGTCGGCTCCTTAGGCTTCTTCCACTGGGGAAGACGAGTGCTCTTATCACCAGTTACAGTAGCGCAGTACTTTAAAGTGCCCTACACATATGCATCAACAGAAGGCAATGTGAGAAACAAGGCAGAGGCTTTCAGTAAGCCATCACAACTACATTGGAGAGGAAGAAAGTTTACTTTCAGTAAAATATGGTGTGAAAGTAAAATAACAGCCAGAATCAGATGCAAGGTGAGACCCGCCAATGAGAACAGAGTTCTTGAGAGGGCTTCCAATGACTTATGTTGGGTCCTTAAGTTAGGTGCATTCTTCACCAAAAACAGCAGTGGGAAGGAGAGATATAGCAGAATCCACAGAGGGACTTCTCAACATAATCCAAACCAAGCAAATAGCCAGCAAGGGCTTAGGGGAAGCAAATAACCTATCAGGGCATTTCCAATCTTTTTAAAGAAACAGAAAAGCAGGTGCACAGGGAAAAAGACCTTTTATGGCCTCAAGCTAGAAAAAAAAAAACTGGTAGAAGCAACAGGCTACTCCTCTAGTTCAAGGTTGGT